GGCAGCGTGCTGGGTGTGGTTCCTGGGTCACAAGGTCTCACCAGGCTTGTCTCCCGAGCAGTAGCTGGGTGGGTTCAAACCACTGACCCTCTGGTGGGTAGCGGCGCGTTAAACCCCTGCGCCACCAGGGCTCTGTGCTTTCCTCCAGGAGCAACAGCAGGGAGCTGCGGCACATTCTCCAGGTCAGCACGGTCCTGTGGGCGATCTCCCTGACCAGCTGGCTCAGCGACCGGCTGCTCTGTAGCTTCTGGCAGAGAATACATTTCTCTTACCTCCACAGCATCTGGTGAGTGAGGGCTGTCCCCACACCAGGGACCTGGGCCCTCAGAACCGCCAGGCTCAGATCCCAGAGCTAGGAGCAGGAGCCTGTGAGGTAGGGCAGGGGGGCACCGAGGCCAGCACTTAGGGGGCCGCTAACAGTAGGGGTCCTGAGAAGGAAGAAGAGGTCCAGGATGGGGCCGTGGGCATCTTGTTGGACACAGGGCCAGTGGGTCCCCTCTCTCTTCATCCGGTCCTGGGCCCCTCTGTCCAGGTCCTCAAGGGGAAGAGTCCCGTGAGGCATTTTATATAAACCTGAGAGAGCCCGAAGCTGTCAGGCAAGGAGAACCCTAAGGTTTTCTGCTGAAGTGGCCCATAGAAAACGGGCAAGACCTTGAGGGCAGAAACCTTGCCAGGCCTGGAAAGGCGAGGCAGACAAGTCAAGTTCTGGCTCTCACTGTTTTCACGCTGAATGTGTGCACGCGTGCAGGTGTCCACGTGTGCCCACATAGATGTATGTGCATCGGAATTGACTCAGTGGTAGTGAGGTTTTTGTGTGTGTGTATACACACACACACACACACACACTCACACACACACAGATATATGTGTATATTTAACGCACTTCCATTGAGGTGATGCAACTCACAGTCACCCAACAGGACAAAGTAGAACAGCTCCTGTAGGTTTCTGAGGCTATAAATCTTCACGGAAGCAGAAAGCCTCATCTTGCTCCCTCGGAGCCACTAGTGGCTTTGAACTATTGACCTTGAGGTTAGCAGCCCAACATCTAACCTACTGTGCCACGAGAGCTCCATGTGTATATACATACATACATACATATATACATATTTGTGTTTATAATTAATTGTACCTGTATATGAGTGTGTACACCATATATACTTGAGTATAAGCCAACCCGAATGCCAGCCGAGGCACCTAATTTTACCACAAAAACTGCATTAAAAATGTGCCAAAAAACTCGGCTTATACACGAGTGTATATGGTATAGATACATAACCTACTATGCCACCAGGGTTTCTTCTATGTGTATATATAGTTGCATGCTTATATATATAATTGTATGTGTATCTATATATACATGTATACATGTACACACAGGCATAAAACAGTACACACAGGCATAAAACATTCTATGGCACTAGGGCTCCTTTTGTGTGTGTGTGTGTATACACACACACACACATATATATATATATCCACCAGAGTTTCTTGTATGATTATATACAATTGTAGGTGTATGAGTACATATATGTACACATAAATATATGTATAAAATCTACTATGCCACCAGGGCTCCTCATACAAATATTTTTCCCCAAAAACATCCACAGAAAAATTCCATTATGTTTTATTCCTATTATTTCATGAAGTTTTTAACCCCCCTCACATATACATGACATGTATGTATATGAATATGTACATGCATATGAACATGTGCAAGTATGCTGTAATATTACAATGACATGCTTGTTGGGAGTTGCTGGCAATGCACGGAGCGTCCGTACGTGTGTGTCAGGGTAGAACTGTGCTCCTGCCATGGGGGAGGGGGATTCAAGGTTGACCTTTTGGAAGTAGATTGCCAGGTCCTTCTTCCAAGGCACCTCTGGGTGGGGGCCGTTCAAAAAACCAGATGAGAGCTTCATCATTGAGCCGCCAGGGGCAACTCAGAGATAGATTTCCTTCAAGAAATTGGCTAGCATGATTGTGGGGCTTAGTTCCGTCCAAATCAGTAGGTCAAGTGGCAGGCTGGAGATTTCTGCAGGCTTGTGTCTCAAGAGCTGAAGGACAGATGTGGGAAAGAGAGAGAGAGAGATAAATAAGTGAGCTTTGGGTAGACTCGAAGCTCCAATGTTTCAGTTTGCACTTGGGAGTGTTAATAGTTTGTACTACCCAGGCACCCGACGATATTGCCTAATAGCTGCATAACTTTGGAAAGACAGAGAGAGAAGTGTTCTGCCAAAATATCTACTGCTGCAACTTAAGGAACCTCCCTGTCAACTGACTGTGCACACCCCACTGCACTGTGGGATAGCAACTAGTCTTGTGTTTGGCCAAACCACTGGCAACCACAGCCCAGCCAAGTTGACACAGAAAATTAACCCTCCCTCCCCGTCCCGCCCCCTCATGTTCCACAGGCATGTGCTCATCTGCTTCACCTTCCCCTATGGCACCATGGCCATGGTCTTGGTGGATGCCAACTATGAATTGCCAGGCCAGACACTCAAAATCCACTACTGGCCTCGGGACACATGGCCCGTGGGGATACCCTATGTGGAAATCAGGAATGATGACAAGAACTGCTGAGGCCCCCAGTCTCTTGCCCATCTAACCTCCATCAATGCACCTGTGTCTTGAGAAGAGAGATCCGGATCAGGACTTCACCTTGAAGATTCCTTTCTCCAGTTCCCTCTACCCATCTTCCTTGTCCTGCACTGCCCTGGCCTCCAGGAAGGAGGTGGACTTCCTGCCCTCTCCGGACCACCAATCTGATGACAGGGGGGGGGGGCTGGCTGTCATATTTCCCCTACATGATGTGACCCCCATCCTCTTTCAATTTCCTGCTCTGGGCCAGCTATTCCTAATGGTTCATGTCACAAGCCTTGACTGTGAGGACCTGGTATTGTCAGGGAATGATCCCTGGTGAAGGTTTGGTCCCCACACACTTTATAAATACTGGTGGCCACTACCAGAATTCTTGCACCCATCTTCGACTATGGCAGTCTCTTTAGTATTTGAGGATCCTGTCAGGAGGGATATGCCTTTATGTCACCACATTCTACGCTCATTCTTGCATGCAAAGACTTACAGCACTTCTTCTTCTTTTTAATCATTTTGTTGGGGGCTCATACAGCTCTTACCACAATCCATACACCCACCCATTGCATCAAGCACATCTGTACATTTGTTGCCATCATCATTTTCAAAACATTGTTTTTCTACTTGAGCCCTTGGTACCAGCTCCTCATTTTCCCCCTCCCCCCCCCACCCTCCTGACTTACAGCACTTCTTGGCTGTTCTGAACACACTGCCATGGACTCATGAGGGTTACCATCACTAAAGGAGAGCTAAGCAATTGGGGCCCTCGATGGGGTGCTCTAGAGGTTCCGAGAGCCCAAAGAACCTGGAGGAAGAAGAGGGTTTCCATGGTTGTTCAAAGCACCAAGCTTGGGGTTGGGTAGTCCCAAGTTTGAATCCCTGCACCACCATTTTCTAGTCTTGTAATCTTGGGGATATGATTTCCCCCACTTCTGAAGCTCAAGCAACCTCATCTTCAAAAATGGAAATGATGTTTCTTCCCTCATGAGGGACTTCTGTGTGGATAAAACAAGATGGTGTTTGTCAAGTGGTTACCATAAAGTCTGCTAAACACCCATCTACCCATGCATCCATCCGTGCATCCATGCATCCATCCATCTTTCCATCCACCCATCCATCCTTCTATGATTAATTAATTCATCCATCTCACATTCACCATCCATTCATGAATCCACCCATTCATCCTTTAGTTTCTCCCTCTATTAACTTATTTTTCCATCCATCTGTCCACCCGTCCTTCCACAATTAATTCATCCATCCAATAGCCAACATTCATCCATCAATCAACCCATTCATCCTTGAGTTTCTCCATTTGTTACTGTATTTACCCATCCATCTATCGTCCATTAACTGACCCAATCATTCCTAGATTGAACTTTTCATTCAGCTGACCATTTATGGAGCCAACATGCCCATCCATTAATTTATGCAGTCTTTCTTTCCACCCCCATCACCCATTGTGCTGAATGTTGATCCCTGGGGTGGGTTCTGCTCCAGGCTGTGGGTATTGAAGGGGCATAAGCTCAGGGGTTCCACCAGTCTCTATCAGACTGGCACAAGCCTGGTCTTCTTGATGTGTCTGACTTTTGCTCTACTTTATTTTCCCTCACTTGATTATTTTTATTTAATTTTATTGTCTCACTGGTCTGAGACCAGTTCATGTTCCACAAAAGCATTGCGGTCAGTGTCAACTTTGCTTCTCCTCCTTTTATAACCACTCAGACCAGTGTTTAGAGCGGTAAGGAAACTGCAGGTTTATCCATCCATTCTTTCATCTACTATCTATCATTTTAAAACCCATCCAACCACTCATATTAATGTATCCATATATCCATTGAAAGATCCATCCAACCATCTATCCATCCAACCATCTACCCATCCATCCGTCCATCCAACCATCCATCCATCCACCCATCCACCCATCTACCCATCCATCCATCCATCCATCCACCCACCCATCCATCCATCCATCCATCCATCTATATTTAGCCATCCATTTATCTCTTCCGTATTCAGATTTGAACCAAATCACTCAATCATACTACTGTTGATTGATGTTTCTACTCATTCATGCATTTATATCTTTATCAGATGTATATATACATATATATATGTAGTGTCTATTATACTTACAGCAGACACTGGTCCCCGCCCTAGTAAAAGAGACAGGTAACTAAGACCCTCCATGTCCCTGCCTTAGTGAAGGACAGAGACATTAAACAAACACAAACAAGATTCTTTCAGCTACCAGTAAGAGCCACAAAACAGATAACACAGGGTGATGCTCCAGAACAGTGGGTCTCAGCCTTCCTAATGCCTTTCATACAGTTCCTCATGTGGTGGTGGCCCCCCAACCATAAAATCATTTTTGTTGCTACTTCATAACTGTAGTTTTGCTACTGTTATGAATTGGGCGACCCCCTTTGGGAGTCGAACGACCCACAGGTTGAGAACCGCGTCTAGAGTAAGGTGACCAGACGTCCCGCTTTTGGTGGAACAGTCCTGATTTTTAACAATTTTTCCTGCATCCCACGGCATTTTTTAAAAGTCCCAATATTTGGAAAGAATGCATGACAAGCTAGGGTGTACAGTTTTCAGCTGCCATGTGGCTATTTCACCAGGATATGAGTTTTATCAATGCTGTCCCACTTTACCAATGTTAAAATCTGGTCACCTTATTCTAGAGAAATGTGGGGTGTAGGAGCAACCCTCTCAAATAGGTGATTAGGGGGAGTGGACTGTCAAACCGAGACCTCCGTGACAAAAGGAAACCAGCCAAGCACAAGATGTGGGGCAAGACCACCTGCGCAGAGGGAACCACAAGTGTGACCCTTATCCCCACCCAGTATGACCAAACCCACAAGTCGTTGCTTAGAGCTTAGTCGATAAGGGTTAGCACATAGTCAAGGGTTCTGAATAGGGGACCTCCGGCTAGGTTTTGGTGCCCACTAACCTATTGACATTGTCTGTAAAAGTTGATGTCTGGATGCATTAGCGAGGTCACTGGAGAGCATCAGTCCAAAGGGATAGAAGCAAATCCATCTGTTGTTGAGAGAGAGAGTCTACGAGGGGAGGGACTATTCATATCCACTGAAAGGTGACCATGGGTTCTGCTCCCATGCCATCTGACGCTCACCCCCTCTCAGTCAAGATACTCTGCCTGCCCCAGCTAATGGCTAAGTTAATGGATGAGTAAATCAAGCGATGGATGGTTCAAAGAATACAATAGATGGTTGGGCGTGTGGATGGGTGCATAAACTAATGGTGGATGGATAGACACAAATTAGTGGTAGGTGATTAGCTAAATGAATGTATAGATACATAAATTCATGGTGGATGGATAATTTAATGATGGAAGGACACATAAATTAATGGTCAATGGATAATGAATATATGAATAGATATAAATTAATGGTAGGTGATTAGATAAATGAACATATAGATATGTAGATAAATTTATGGTGAGTGGATAGATGGATGGAAAGATAATTTAATGGTGGATGGGGAGTGCATAAATGTATAAATTAATAGTGGGTGGACACATAAATCAATGCCAGATACATGGACATGGATGGATAGATAAATTAATGCTGGATGTATAGATAAATGAATGCATGCATAAATACATAAATTAATGGTGGATGATTAGACATATGATTGAGTATATATGTAGATTAATTCTTGGGGGGTGGATAGAAGGATGGATGGATAGATGGACAGATCAATTAATGGTGGATGGATGAATGGATGCGTAAATTAAGGGTGGATGGATAAATAAATTAGTGGTGGATGAACAGAAGTATTAATGCCACATGATTAGATAAATGGATAGAGAAATTAATGGTAAATGGGTAGATGGATGAATGGATACATGATGCATAGATGGACAGAATCATTGTATAGACATGGCTCAGAAAGGGCAAGCAACCTGCCCAAGGCCACACAGCCTGGACTTCAACCCAAGCTGTCCCTTTCTGGTGCTCCTTGCACCACAGTGAGTCAGCAAGACAACTGGGCCTGGACACCCAGTCCACCTGCTTCCCAGGTCTTCTCACTCGCGTCTAAATCCAGAAGTCCTTCACCTGAGGCCACCCAGGTTGGATGGAGGAGGCAGGAAGGGCGGCAGAGGGAAGGGCGTTCCTGCGACTTTGGGGAATTGTCTACAGAACAACCGGCTCGGGAGGGGGGAGTCCGAGGAGCACCACCTCCTGTGCCGTCCCCTCCCCGCTTTGCTACCTTATGTGACCATGCGGGGACTCGCCTAAAAAATGACGAGGACTGGCTGCTGGCCGGTTGACTCTGACTCAGGATGACCCTGAGGGTGTCGGAGCAGAACTGAGCTCTGCGGCATTTTCAACGGCTGGATTTCCTTCCGAGGCGCTTGTGGGCAGATGGGACACTCCAACCTTTAGGTTAGCAGCCAAGCCTGTGCCCC